CTCTCTCGCTCTCTCCCTACCGTTAAGTAACTTGTGCATTGTTTTACTTACTTGTCTTTGACATATCCGACCGAACTATAAACTTTCCAATGATGTCTGTGAGAACGGTATATTCACTCGACAAGCTCGCGCATCTGCGCCGCCGCGCGCTCAATCCACTCAGCCTGCTTTGTTTATCAGCTCGCACACACCAGCTATACAGGCGTTAATACTGAATGTTTAACATTATATTCATTGCATACATATACTTCGTAGTAGACATCCATAACTCCTTTCTGCTGTCTGTTGTCAGTGTTTCTTTGTTTGAATATGGCGCTTATCACATGCTGTGTGGTATGGGCGTTTGGTATCGGCGCATTTTAACAAGTACGAGTAGGAGTACAGGCGGCCAGTATCGGGCCCGATACCAATACCAGTATCGGTATCGGTGCATCCCTAATATTTACTATATAAACGTAACATATTTTTCTTAAATATATACATGCATGGGTGTGTATTTATATATACATAATAAATATACACAGTACACACACATATACTGTGTAAACAAAACGTTTATTTTGGATGCGATTAATCGCGATTAATCATTTGACAGCACTAATTTTAACACTATGGTTACACTTTAGAATAGGGAACACATTCTCTATTAATTAGGAGTTTTGCCTCAATAAACTGCTAATTTGCTGCTCATTAGTAGTTATTGAGGTGGTTGTTAAGTTTAGGTATGGGGTAGGATAAAGGGATGTAAAATATGATCATACAGAATAAGGTATTAATAAGTGCTTTATAAGTAGCAATAAACAGCCAATATGCTAGTAATAAGCATGCTAATAAGCAATCAGTTAATAGTGAGAATTGGTGCTTAAAATAAAGTGTTACCAAAATTATATAACTACGCAGTAATTATTAAAACCTCTAATGCACCTAATGACTTTTGGCAACAAAAAAAAAATATATATATATATATATATACATAATGTATTCTATATATGCATGAGGGAATAAAGTTTTTTCAACTGAGACACAAAGGCAATATTAAAAAAAAAAACTTTATTGCAAAATAATTATTTGCAACAACATTAACAGAAATAAGAAATTCCTGGCCTAAGAAAAGCGAATGGGGTAATTGAGACTGCACTATACTCATGATGACATTCTAACAGGAGAGATAACTAAACTATGTGGTCAGCGTGTCACATTATGAGACACAATTGCCACTTTCTCTCAAGAGTTCCGACTTCATGTGCTCTGACTTTTGGAGTGAGTAGGGCATACTAATGCCCTATTCTCACTTCACATACTAATGCTCATTTCCGATTGGAATTGACCCAAAATGTGTACTGTCTGGTGTACTCTATAGGACCATGGCTGGGATAGTTTTTCAAAGTGTAACCTAAAAAGCGACTAATTGTCATTTAAAATATTTCTATATTAATATAACATTTACAGTGTACAGTCTTTATAGTAAATGTTGAAAATAAATATCTAAAATGAGCTACTGCGCGTATACAAATAATTGTCTATTAAAACAGTTCAGTCCATATCATTCTAAAAGTAATAGAGCCAATAAGTAAATCCACTAATAATGTGTGTAGGTTACCATGTTATAGTTTAACTGGAGGACAGGTGAAATGTCTTCAGAATGTATTATTTCATTTAAACACTCATTTCTTTACAATAAAAATATCTTTCACATCCAAGATTCAAATATAAACTAGAACAACACCATTAGCCATATTTTAAGTTTGTAATAGGACTCAGTAAAGACTGGTATAAAATTGTCCTGATGCTTCCCAGGAGGAAATGTAATGTATTACACTCTTTAACTTTCGCACGTAACCACACATTTGTCTACTACTTACGTTTCATAAAATTTTCCTACCATTGCCAATAATGGGAAATCAGACCTCTGAAAATAATTATATCTAGCAAGCCATTATTTATTTATGCAAGAGATAAAACACTTGTGCACAGATTGCTTTAATGGTTGTTACCCAACCATTTGCACTGATCTTTATTGGTCAGAGAGAATAACTGACTCCAACATTTTTAACAAAGCAACAGAGATATATTCTATCTATATATATATATATATAGAAATATATATATAGAAAGGCACATTTTTTTGGCAAAATACACTTGCTGGATGAACAAATGCCTAAGTCCTGAAAGCAATCATTTTAGGGGGAAAAAACACAAATAAACAGTGGTAAACCTTTAAAAGCTTTGACCTATGACGCCAGTTTGGTTTAGGACAAAACTCATAGTCACAGTACAAAACACTTGTGTGTCTCTTTCTAATAAAAAAATGATTACACCACTGGCAAAACACATCAGCATCAAAATTCACCATATATAATATATTCATAAATATGCAATAATAGAGAAATAGATCCATACTAATGTCTGTTTGGTCCAAAGAACAGTAGTCCGCTAAAGTACAGTGTTAATCCAGATACATACTGAGAAAAAGACACTACCCCAAGACCTTCTACTGTCTCACTAAGAGACCCCTGAGCATGCGGTTACTGTTTGGCACATTTTTTCTTTCATTTTGCTTACCATTTCAAGAAATATTAAAATGATTTTTTTAAGCTAAAATGATGATGGCATTGCCCAGCTGACATTGCCATGGCATTAAAAAGCACAGTTTAAACATTTAAGTCTGGTAACACTGCAATTTCAGTAATAAGCCTTTAACAAATATTAGATACTTCTTAACAGATCAGTGGTTTATGTACATGTATATGAAAATATATTACAACTTCATTTCTATTTCAACGTACATTAACCCTGTTCTGTTAACATTGTAGATCTATGATCTGTAATAAATCATGTTTGTTATTAATGAACAATATTCTATATTCTGTATATCATAAAATCTTAATTTATCTATTTTTGCAGGTTTCTAGAGGTACCTGCTGAAAGGCAAAGATTGCAATGGCAGCTGTCTGTGAAACTGAACAGTAAACCTGAACTGAAACTTCAAATTACTCAAAATTCTCATCAGTTCAGCGCAGTGTAGGGCACAATAAGGGCATTAACTAAGTGCACTGGCTAGTCTGCAGAATTTGAAGGAACATTAAAGCGATAAGCCTTATCTGTGCTATTAATAAAAAAGCAGTAAGCACACTGCGCAAAAGAAATCAATAACATTACAAATGTTACAAGAGCACCCTGAATCAGAGCTGAACACCATAATCTAGAGCAGCTGAACAGCAGATGGACTTGAGTTGTGTCATTGAAAATTCCAGTTTTGATGAGTCTAGAGTGGCAGCTAAACAAGGCCTTACATATGTACATATCCATTTAAAGAACAGTAGTTTAACCACCCCAGGCATGGGGCATATGTCCCAGAGATGAGAGAGGGAAAGAAACATGCTGTGCAGTTCTTTGGGCAGACAATGGGACAGCAACTTTCCCAATGAATTCAGGAAAAAAAAATCCAAAGAACCTAGAGATTCATTTAGACAGCTTACTAATGACACGAATGAGAGCTGCATTTTCATCTTTCAGTCTCTGGTTGTCAGCACGCAAATCCACAAGCACCTAGAAGGAGGAGGACAGAGAGTGAGATGAACAGGCCCACATGGAACCTGTATATGCATGGAAATTTGTAGAAAGTTCTGCAGATCTGACATATCCATCATACACAATGTTCTACACAACTCGTACCTCTTACATGTTATGCTAATAGTGTTTTCAGCTATCAAAAGAGTGTAGTAATCACAGCTCTGTTTAACTAATTTAACTTTGTTTAAATCTATTCTGAAATTCTAAACAGTTCTAAATACTGTAAAGCTCAAGCTTATATTATTATTAGTAATAGTAATATTAGTAATATTGTTAGAAAATACGGGATTAGCTCTTACTTTGAGTTCATCTTCTATCTCAGATGCTCTCCGCTGAAGAAGTTTCTTTTCCTGAAGAAAAAATAGAGCAGAATAACAACAAAACAAAACAAAAAAAAAACACTTTACAATAGGGTTCAATTTTTTTTTAACGTGTGCATTAGGTGAAATAACATTTATTAATCTAGGTTATATTACAGGGCTGTTGAATGCTTGCTTCTGATTGGTTGATGAACATTCTATGGTGTGCAATTTTTTTTTCAGGGAGGTCTTGACCCCATTGCAGTTAAATATGCAATGAAAATGATTTCAGTTATTTCAGAGGTCCAGAATAAGAAGGCAAAAAAACCGAAGCCCACAAAGACATTGACCAAGCAATTAAATACATTAATTAAAGCTGCAGTCCGTAAGTTTTGCCTCTTTGTCGCCATCTCTGTTTGAAAACCTAGAATTGCAGCTGTGCGGGGCATTATCTAGCTTGCGTGGGTTGTGAGTCGGCACGGCTCCAGCGCGGATGAATCTAATAATGTTCTGAAGAGTATGTGTGGCAGTCAGTCACCGCACCGGTGTGGATATTTACTGTACTTCGCAATCACAGATTCTAGCCTAAGTCTTGGAATATGACCGGATCATTTTTAACCAAAAAAAGTTACGGACTGCAGCTTTAACAGAATAAAAACAAACTATTTTCATATTTTCTCAATTAATTTTTAGCTTTCAGTTTCGTTATTAGTAGACACTGTTGTTGAGACGATACTGTTCAAAGACACCTCCATTATTAGCTTTAAAATTACATTTTTGAATTAGCAACAGGTGCTTGAGATGAAATGCGTAAGAAATTGGTCCTACATACAAGAGCGTTTAGTCTACAAAATCTGACAAAAACTGTTGAATTATTTAAAAATAATGCACTATGCATTATTTTCTAATAATTCAATGGTCCTTCATCAATTATTCCTTACTTAATGTTAATTTTAGCATGTACCAATACATCTTTAACATATAAATTAACAAAATGTAATTAATTAAAAAAATGTTGATTATTGTTAGTACGTGATACCAGTGCATTAACTAAGGTAAACAAATTGCAGCATTGTTACCACTAAAACCCAAGACACCCGAACCATGACACGGCATGAAAATGTGGTAACTTACAAATCTCTCCAGCTCCAGCAGGGCTGGTCTGTCTGATCCATTCTCTTGATTCTGTGTGCATGCAAACAAATACAACTATATATATAAATATATCTAACTCACTTTAGTGGTTCAAAATTTCTTGCCTATCCCAAGGTCTCAGGACAAGAAAACAACACTTCTCACCTGTTTGAGTTTCTCCAGCTGAACTTTACTCTCATTTAACTGCAGTTGAGTTTCTTGAAGCTTCTCTTTTAGATCTCCATTCTCTTGCAACACCTGCAGATACAACTGAGAGAACACATATTACATAACAAGAGTGTGAACCAGCTCTTATATCGCTCATTAGTTTCTGAATGTTCAATGTTTAAAAAAAAAACATTATTACCTTTCTATAATCCAGAGAAGAGTGTCTGGAATAGTCTAACTGAGGATCACTACAAAAACAAACAATACTCTTAAAAATAACATTACAAAAGTCTCAATATTACTCTCTCAACATGAGCTTATTAGCAGCTTATTTAAAACGGTGCACTAATTAATCCCGTGGTTAGGGACAGGCAAACGCGAATGCATCCATATCTACAGAGAAAGACATCACAGAACAAAAAACAAGACACTGTGCTATGTAATCAGTACACACTAAGTACATGTAGGATATACCTCTCGAACAAAGCTACACACCAGGTGATGTACAAAACCTTGATAAAGCACGCACAAACCTTGTTCTGTTGTCTTGTTCAGCATCTTCATTTGCATCCATATCATCCATCTGAACAAAAGAAACATTAATTGTCAATAACTGTCCATGTCAAAGTCAGTCATTTAAAACTCCTGAATTATGTAATTTCTTTACTACTACTACTGGCACTAAACACAACTGCAAAAATAATTAGAAATTAGAGGTGTAAGAATGTTCTCATTGTACAAAAAAAAAAAAAATTTAGCCTAGCAACAAAAACAATACCGCAACAAGAATCCAAAATTGAATGACCACTGAATGCTATGATTGACAAATTAGAACCAACAACAATGTAATAAATGGCATTAATATAATTTGTCTACATATTTTAGTTGTCGGTTCATTACATGTTTAATAGCAATGTGCAAATCTATGATGCATATTCAATAGTCCACTACAAAAAAATAAAATTTCTAATAGTGCGAATGTATGATTTGATTCATTATTTTGTCAGTAATTGACTACATTGCAAACGGTCTCTCGAATTACATTAATGCCTTTTTTTGGAAACAGTTATGAATTGTTTTAAAATACTTAAATCATTCATACATTGAATCATGGCCCAATTTCATGATACGTCACAATCATAAGATTAAAGAATCAAAGTCACAACAAATATTTACACCCCTATTAAATATTAATTAAAATAAAAACACTATTTTTGTTTATTTATAGGTGATTTGTCCAAAGTACTGGCTGATGCATATTTTAAAGAAGTCTGTCAAGGAAATATTGTAAAACAATCATATACCAGTTTTGGGACAACCATGTCATTATAGTGTTAAGGTCTACATTATAGATCCTTTGTCATGTACTGTTTGTGTTTGCATATGAATGTTTCTAAATTCATTATCATGAAATAGGGAACCTCTACAAACTCCTCCTGTTCTATTGGTTGTGGGCAACATTTGCTTAAAATGAAAATTCACGTGCATCATCATCCTTTGTTATTCTTTGTAATATACAGGTGAGAAGCTGCAAAGAAGTGTACTTCTAAAAGTCTATTTAAATTGAAAGCGCTCAGTGTGAACGAGAATGCCCTGGGTTTTTTATGAATGCTTGTAGCTCACCTCTCCAGCCAGCTGAACGATACCAGTTGAGCGTCTCTCTTTCCTCCCTTTCCTGCGATCTCTCACTCCTAGTGTCGTCTCTGCATCTCCCAATTCCTTCACTGGCTCTGTGTCTAGTGCAGAGAGAAAACTCTCAATATCTAGACAGAATTCACATGGAAACAAACATCAAAGAATAATTACTGTCAACTGAAATAGAAGAATCAACTCCAGGTGCTTCAGACACACTGGATGGTAATGAGACTCACCTCTCTCAGCTGGTGTTAGTGTGATGTTGGGGCTCACAGGCTGAACACTGAGGTGCTGAGGTTCATTGCTCTTAACAATAATCCGTTCTGCTTCCTTAAGATCTGTCAATGTTACTCCCTGACAATCAAAATTCCAAAACATATTTAATAATAATGATTTTTAATAATAATTTACTAATATTATTTTAATAATAATTATTATTTTATTTTTGGGCACATTATTAACATGTTGCTAACAAAATATTAAGCCAAACTACTCAATGCGGTTTTCTTTCTTTTCTTTTTTTTTAATGAGTTTTATTCATTTTATTAGTTTTATTCAGGGTTGTGAATACACACCTGTGTTGATCGTCGTGACTGCCGCATGAGACGCGAGCGAGCTTTCCTCTGAAACTCTGACTCCTCATCTCTCACTGGAGCCTGAAACCTGTAAAACACAATTTCATCACTATTCACGAACAGATCATAAATCCAGTTTATAAAATAGATAGTTCTGGTCCTTAATTATGACTGTTTGAGTCAATAAAATTTCTGAATTATGTAACTTCTTTACTACTACTGGCACCAAACACAACTGCAAAAATAATTAGACATTAGAGGTGTAAAAATATTCTCAATGTACAAAAAAATTCAGCCTAGCAACAAAACAAATACTGCAACAATAATACAAAAATTGACTGACAGATCGGAACCAGTAACAATGTAATAAATGGCATTAATATGTAGTTAATGACTGTTTGAGGCATGTTACTCTCAAAACATACACATGTGACCTCATAACGTTAGTATTACTGCACTAAAGAAACTGTTTCGAAATGTCAGATTTCATTGTAGCCGTAGTTTATACAGCTAAGGGGGTTTAGGCACTCCGCTCCGCTTTGTGACTAGCGAGTAGGCTTCTTGGCTTATTGCATTAAACAGTAACATTTATTTACATATTACTTTACATACTGCTTAGTAATTTACATACTGACATAGCGAAGATCTTTAAATTCAAAATGATGTTGAATGATTCTCAATACAAACTTCAATACCAAAAGACAGTAAAACACTCCTTTATAAGTTTACCTGCTGTAGAGATTTAATTAATACAGTTTCAATTATAAAATTAGTTTAAAATAATAAACTAAAACGATGTTCTATGTAGTTCACTCGCCAGGTGTTTGAGTTAGAGTAAGTATAAGTATAGCACAAATATTTTTTCACTCATTTGGAATTATTCAGCCTTTAAAAACATGTCTAAGTCTAGCGAATAAACAAAACAAAATTACTTGCCAATGGCGATTATATTGCCAAGGCATCCGTCGAGGGTTGTTATATTTTTTTATTAATTTTTATTTTAGTATTAAAATGTCTTGACTTGGTAATACTGCTACGTTATGCCATCACTAATACTTCCTAATCATGAAGACTTACATAAGATTACATAAGATTTGTTCAGAAGTAACATAAAATCAATAAAATAAATAAGTGTAATTGTAAAGCATTTAATTCTTTGGATCAAACTATCTTACTTCTTTCCATCACTAGAGGCGTTACTAGGGCTCTCAGCAGGTGACTCTCGCCTCTGAGGGGTGGGCTGCACAACTGCTGTGCGACTCGCTCTGTCCTGATCATTCACCTTGACTTCTTTATCCTCAATGGTCTGAAGAACACAAACATACAGTGATTAAATCACATGCACCAGCAGAGAGATTCTGACATTAAAAGCTGAGACAGAAGACTGTGTGTCTGACCCCTGAAGAGGGAACAATGCTCTCTGGTGTCGACACTGTTGAACTTTCTAGAACAGAGAACAAAACAAACATTATTAAAGAGACTGTACTCTTGTACAAGTATGTTTCATATATGTGAATATTTTGAATGCTGCTGTATGAGAGAGAGAGACAGACAAAGAGAGACAAACCTGGGCTGCTTTCTCTCTCATCGTTGAGTCCCAGGCCTCCTGAGACCCCTCGTTCCTTAGACTGGTCCTGTACATTTATTTTGTCCCTGCTGCTCATTCGGCACACAGAGCTCCTTAGAGAAAGAGAGGTATGAGTGAAGATGTTTGTGACTGCAAAGACTGAAAGACTAATCATCTTTCTCACCTGCGTTTCTTGTTTGCAGTGTTGGCATTTGAAATCTGTGAATTTTGTTGCTCAATAAGTGCCTGTTCAGTCCTCCACTAAAATAAACAGATGCAAAAATTAATTTAATCATCATACTTCATTTAGAATGGATCTACATAGCCCAGATTTGATTACTGTTCTGATTAATAGTTTCAACGGATAGTAATGAGTTCAATGAGGTACAAAAACATGTAAACAACAAATAAACAGCTTCAACATGGCTCATTAAATAAAATTACAGTTGTCAATAGATTAATTAATAAGTTAAATAAGTTAATAGGTTAAAATGCACTTGGTTTTTAAGGACAGAAAAAAAAGAAAAGAAAAAAAATAAAATAAATAAAAATAAAATAAATTATATATATAGATTAGGGTGGCCCTTATTGGGGGGAAATGTTAACCTCTCACCCCCTCATTTGTTTCACTAGAAGTATGTAATGTAAAAAGTTAAAAGGCAGATCTTTGTACCTTAGTTACACCTAAATGATTCATATTAGTACCTTAAAGGTACATATTATTGTTTTAAAAGTAAATATTAGCACATAAAGTATACATATTGGTACCCTTTTGAAAGGGTACCTCCACAGTGTCAGTTTCCCAGATAGCACAGGTATGTCTCTAAGAAGTCTGCTAACTAGTCCGCTTGAACTGGGAAACATCTGCTGTGTAAAAACATCTGATAAACGTCAAAAAGACATCTCCATAATGTATGTCTGCTATCAGGGTTTGTCTTTTTTCTGAGAGTGTGTGTTTATAGGTTAAAAGCCTTAAACATTGAATTAACTTCATGTTATCAAATTTAGCAAACATTTACAGGTAATAGAGTACTGAATGGATGACATATTTTTGTAGGCCAAAACCCAGAAACAAGTTGGCATTTTAGCACTTCCATTTCCATTGTCCCGAAGTCAATGGGTTTTTTGTTAAATGCCTGAAATAAAATCTGTGGTTAACACAAGCACAATATATAAGTTTTATTCTCTGACATAAAAACATCGGTAATACCCCTTGTGATTTTTTTTTGTTTTTTACTTGTCTTGAAAAAAGCTATTGCTAACAAGTGGCTAAATGGGACCACAGAGGTTGTCGGTTGAGACTGAGCATGTTAAATGTCATAACACCAAACATAAAAACTCATCTACTCACTAGTCCACTTTTTACAGCCTCATTGTGTTATTAATCACACTCAGAGAACTTGAACTGAAAGAGTTCCAGGAAGCTTAGTGATGGTGACGTTAAAGTCAGGTGACTGTGGTGTAGTTATAGCCTTTGTTTAGCATTTGTAAATACCCAAATACACAGCTTTCTGACAATTGTATTTAGGCTTCAAAATTATGTTCATTTGAGAAGAACATTATGATGTTCATGATGAACAAAATTTCTATGAATCACACATTTTTTTGGTCATAGAGCAGATTTTCCGCAATTATCCAAAAGCCAAAATCCAATTCTGTGGATATTGTTCAGTTGAACAGATTTCAAGACTGCAACTGTCTGTTCTCTTTCATATTGCAAAAGCAAAGAAAAAAAAAAAAAGCAAGAGCACTTGGTAAGACAAAAAGCTCATTTTAGAACTTCTTTTGTGATTGATGTCACAAAAACAAATTGAGGTGTTCGTCTCTTTCTGCTAATACTAGTGCAGTTGTATACTGTGAATATCGTGATAAAGTTCATTTTTTTGTAACTTATTTAAAAAAGTGAAACTTTCATATATTCTAGATTAATTACATGTAAAGTAAAACATTTAAAAAAAAAATTGTTTTAATTTTGATGATTAGAGCTTACAGCTCATTAAAGTCAAAAATACAGTATCTCCGTGATGATTTGGGGTGCTGTGACGTCTGCTGGTGTTGGTCCATCGTGTTTTATCAAGTCCAAAGTCAATGCAGCCGTCTACCAGGAGATTGTGGAGCACTTTATGCTTCCATCTGCTGACAAGCTTTATGGAGATGCTGATTTCCTTTTCCAGCAGGACTTTAGCACCTGCCCACAGTGCCACAACCACTTCCAAGTGGTTTGCAGACCATGATATTTCTGTGCTTGACTGGCCAGCCAACATGCCTGACCTGAACCCCATACGCAGTGTTGCCAAGTCTGCAGTTTTCCCGTGGAATTGGGCTACTTTATCACTGTTTCCGCGGGTTGTTTTTCATGTCCGCGGGTTAAAGCGACCCCGATAACGTGATATTTAGCCCCTGGAGTGCAAATTTTACCAGGGAAAACCTGCCAAAAATGTATATTTTACCCCCCCGGAACGCGATTTTTAACGGGGAGCCACCCTCGAAATGTGAATGGGCTAGTTTTGTGCTAGTTTTGAGTAGCAAATGGGCGGGTTTTGTTGTGAAAACTTGGCAACCCTGCCCATACGGAATCTATGGGATATTTTCAAGAGAAAGATGAGAAACAGTCGATCCAACAATACAGAAGAGCTGAAGGCTCAGTAGTGTCTCTGCAGTGCCACAGGCTGATCGCTTCCATGCCACACCTCACTGATGCTGTCATTTGTGCTAAAGGAGCCCCGACCAAGTATTGAGTGCATAAATGAACATACTTTAAAGAACTTGAACTTTTCTGTTTTGCAAATCCTTTTTTTGTTTTGATTGATATTAGGAAATATTCAAATATCTTGAGATACTGGATTTTTGACTTTCATGAGCTGTAAGCTCTAATCATCAAAATTAAAA